GCGGCCGTTAAATAGGAAGTATCTTCTGAGCTTATTCGGTGGAAGACCAGTCAGCCCTGACCATCGTCATAACAGCTCTGACCTTTCTCTTAGCTGAATCTGAGGAGCTCAGTGTGAGCTACTTCAGAAACAGTTCGGGTATTATGTGGTTTCACAGATGTGCGTTATGTGGATCTGTGGGTTTCGAGCTTAAACGTTTGGTAGAAGCACATCTGTCAAAACATATTCTTGTGCTTTAAGATAAGTTCATTTTTATACGTGAAGAAAGAAGATAAACTCTTCTGTTCCCCTCTTTCATCAGCACAACAAGAAGCTAGTGTCATGCTGATGAAAGAGGGTACAGGTATAATCACTACTTTCAGACCACTGGGTATGTTTCTTTCCAGTTTTTCTCTCTGTCCTTTAGTTAAAAGTGTATGACAGTCTTACCTTCCAAGCTTTGTTTGCTTCTAGTGGTCAGACAGAATGACTCCAGTGAACCAGCCAACGGACAAGGAGCACGAGAGGGCACATCACCATTGGCCGGAAGGGACAAAATCAGCTGGGAAGAGGAAACCAGACTATGAGGAACTTGGGAATGAGACACAAGCAAAGAGGTTGTTTGTGAGAAAAACATCTAAACCCCCAGGGAAAATCGGTAACATTTCCTTGGATCCTTACTGTTTCTCCCTACCAGCCTTACTGCACATGGCAGGCGGTGACTAGTTGAAGAGGGAGAATGCCAGAAGCGTGCTCAGACATGACTGTTCAGATGGGGCTGTCTGTTGAAGCCATACCCAGTCATGTGTTGGGGTAGCACATCCTCCAGGTTTCTGTCTAGTGAGTGTGTGTGCATGCATGCATGGTTAATTTTTGAGACCCGTTGGTGAAAACCTACTCACTGAAGATGCCGTCACATGGTGGTGGCTAAGTTTTGTGGAATTCCCGTATCCCAGATCTCTGCTTTAGTGTAGTATCTTAAAGATTTTTGATGTAATGAGAAGAGGTGATTAACTTCTAACACACTGGAAACTTTAATGCTTTGCATTATCAAGAAAGTTGTCTATACTTTAGGTACAGCCGGGACTTTTCATAGTGTCACTTAGATTGGAAGAGACCTTTCAGATCATCGAGTCCAAGCATTAACCCAGCACTGCCATGTCCACTGCTAAGCTAGGGCCCAAGGCACCTTGTCTGCATGTCTTCTAGATAGCTCCAGGGATGGTGACTCAACCACTTCCTGGACAGTCTGTTAAAATGCTTGACAGCCCCTCCAGTGAAGAAGATTTTCCTAATATGCTATCTAAACCTCTCTTGTCTCAACTAGAGACCTTTTCCTCTTGTCCCATAGCTTGTTACTTGGGAGAAGAGACAGACCTGCAGATCAACCTCCATTCAGGTAGTTGCAGAGAGTGATAGGTCTTCCCTGAGCCTCCTTTCCTCAGATAAAACCTTTAATTTCATCAACAGTTGAGATCATTAAGGTTACTGCCTTGTGTGGAGATCCTACAAAGTCTGTACAGTTTTGGCTTTAAGGATTCCGAAATTACTGAAGTGTTTCTCAACAGTCACAGATACAGGGTTTTATGATGTTGTACATTTCCATTGTGTGGTTTGTAAGGTGAAACTTGGAGCAGCGAGCAATATGAACAGTGAATGTGGAGGCAAAAATACTCTGTTTGAAAGGAGTGCTGTGTATAGTTGTGCACAGTTAAAGCATCTTCTGTAGTTAATTTAGTTCCATGATTTTCTTGTAATTTCATGGCCTGATTTTTCAGGTATGGTAAGCGTCTGCTGTTCCTGTAAGATTCAGAGGGGATTGGATGTGGCTAGTACTTTGGAAAAATGAGGCCAATCTTATTTTTCCCTTAACCCTTTAAAAAAACACTTAAAGACCTTTGTATTTGAGCTTTTCCATTCTGTGTTCCAGTTTTTTTATGTGTTTGGAAAAAAATTTATTTCTCCTGAGCTGTATAGGACAGTTTCTGGTTTTTGCAATTAAAACACCTCTTTTAAAGGGTTTCTTCCAGCAGATTCTAAAAAGGCCTATAAAGTTTGTTTCATAATAATTGTCCTTCATAGTAAAACAGAATCTGTAAAAAGTACCTCAATTTCTGTCACCTCTGAAGAAGGAACTGTGGATGCTAATTTATCTGAAAAAAAGGAATTAGAATATAAAAACTCTTATACCTGTTTCAACAGGTGTGACAAGTGTTGGCACTATGTTGGCATGGGAACAAAGAAGTTTAGTTTCACACCTGTGTATTTCTGGGCTCCAGTGCTGCATTAAAGAAAGATTTTGTTTGAGTTCTAATCGTATAGAATGATCCTTGTGTTTTCAGTCTTCTGTAATTTTTTTGTAAATATCCTCAAATGAAAATATCCTTTATGTTTCTTAAGAAATGCATTTAACATCTAGAGCCCCAGGGGTGTTACAGACTATTGCTGGGGGTTGATTAGATCACAGACATGAGACTGAATAGATCTAGATTTTATGTAAAGGTCCCTGAAGATGAAAACTAGAAACATGAACAAAATGTAGAAACATGCTGTAGCCTCAGCAAAAATCACTCCAAACAGATAGGTTTTCAGGCCTGTGAGGCATCAGCAAGTCTATTATCAAAACAAAACTCACAAACTCTACAGGCCACAGCACAAGCAGATGGAAAATTCTGATTCACAAGCAGGCATTTCAGGAACTCTGTGGGAATCCATGTTGCTATGCTTGGAGAATTTTCAGGTGTTTCTGATGGTCACACGTTTGACCTTTCTTTTGCTGGAGGCAAGGACTTCCCACCTCCCATGGCAGATTTCCAAGTTGATGGGGTTTTGGATAGCCACATTATATTTTGGCTATGAACCATTCAAATTGTATGTTGGTCAAGAGATGCACAGCCTGTGACATTGCTTTAGTCCTTTCCTGTTGTCTTTGATAAATCTTTGGCAAAGAGAAGGAAGGTTTAACAAGAGGAAGCATACACAAGGCCCTGGCAAGCTATGGGAAGCACTGGACTCCATAATTGCAGAAGCTGCTGCACCTTAGACATGTAAGAATTATTTAGAGACTTTTATCTTGTGGCTAAAGCTTTTCATGGATGTAGCAGCAAATGCAGATGTCTTCCTATATTGTTTAGTGAAGGAGCATGACAGGTGTTGCCTATCAGTAAGTTTTACACTTTTCTCTGGCAGGTTGGAGCAGAGGTGGGTCTGTGGTGAGAAATAACAGAGTCCTTTTCCATCAGCTGGAGCGGCAGTGCAGCATTGTTCATTATGTCTACCAGAACATGCTGGGAGGTTCCATTCGGGCACAGCTCAGGCAGGTGAGGAGTTTCTTCTTCCATGACCTGTTGGATATCTCAACTTCCTACACAAAAAGATCTTCAACACAACCAGAGAAACTTTAAAGGGGCTTAAAGTTCCTCACATACACAGTTTGTGGCTCCAAGTCTGGCGCACCCTTATGTTTCTTAATCCTGTAAAATGCAAGAGCTGAGATGGCTTTCCCTTTTGCTTGGCACAGGCATGTCATCTACATTTTATCCTCTGTTAATTCTGTGCTTCTTTGAATCATATTTAAACTTCCCCATTCTACCAGTTGAGTTATTGCACAGTGAAAGTTTCGCATGCTGATCTGACTGTTCAGTCATACTATTCTTGTATCCACTCTACTCTGCTAAGCTTGTCAGGTTTAGTGTTGATTTTTTCTCTTTGCAGACATAGTCCATCAAGTCTGTAATGTTTTACCTTTTTGTAGAGCCAGATGCCTTTCATTTGAAAATTAACTTCCTGTAACATCCATAGGTGGGAAGCACCTGGGCTGGCTATATCTTCCAGATGATTTATGTATTTTAAGTATCCAAATGATAAAGAAATCACTGGGCTCATCCAAGCAGTACCTATTTTTCAACCGAATAATAATGCAATCGTGTCTGGTTTCTTACTCCCTATTTAAAGCATTCTGTTCACTTTTGTGCTGTTAAATAGAGCTATGGACAAATTTGAGGGAGGACCATAATATTGTATCTCTGGATGATGTGTAACATTTTGAGATGCTCAGTAAAAACATAGATAATAGTAAATGTCTTTTACTGGTGTGGAGCTAATTATCCTGCTTTTTTAGCTCAATCCACAAGGATTAGCTCCCTGTACCTCATTTGAAGTGTGATATCTCTCAGTTCTCTGTTGCTTTCAGAGTGCTGTGGCTGATGTGGATTTGTGTGGTCGCACAGGCTGTTTCCTTTGGGGACAGCTTATCTACAGAGACGTTTCAAATTTTGTGTAAATGTATTAACACTGATGACAGTTAGAAATTGTTAGCACTCCTTGAGAATCTCAGGGATACCTGCAAAAGTCATAATTCCCTTTGCCTTTTTAACAGTGTCTGCAGCTGCCTTTTCTGCGTTCTCTTGCCTCATATCGCCTCTTTCGAACTGCAAGTCCCTTTGACAGGAGAGTGACGTGCCTGGAATGGCATCCAACACACCCCAGTACAGTAGCTGTTGGTTCCAAAGGTGGAGACATTATCCTTTGGGACTATGAAGTACTTACTAAAACCTGCTTCATCAAGGGGGTAAGCCTGTGTGTGTGGAATGGGTGGGAAGGAAAACTGGAGTACCCCCAAATACCCTAGATCAAAACTGAGGTTTCAGAGTAGCTGGTTATGGGGCAGGACTGAGATGTAAGGGCATGTCTGTTCCTAAGTTGTAGCACTGGGGAGAACTGAAATACGGTGATTAAGTGCATAACGAAGCAGTACTTTGTGTGCTCAGTGGAAAAATAATACAGCAACTGGCAAAACAGTTATCTTAAAGGGATGCCAGAAACAAGTAGGCATAGAGAGTCTGTGTGGTTTAGGTCTTGATCTTTCTCTACTCACTTTTTATTGTGTCAGATGAAGAAACATCTTTGAGTGGGGAGAAACAAAGTCCCTTTATCTAAAGTGAGGAACCGAGGTAGAATGACTGGTTTATACAGCTGGCATACCTCCTCCTTGCTGTATTCAACCATTTCCATTCCGACTGGGCTCAAAGACTTACTAACTTTTATTGCCTTCCTAAATTAGCATAGATAGACATTGGGACGTCTGTCCTTCAGAAATTCCAGTCATCTTTCTCTTTTTGTAAACAGCATGGTGCCAGCCAGCAAGGGAATACATTGCCTGGGGACTGAAGGAGTTGCAGATCTGTCCTCCAGGAGGACAGCTGTGTAGACAGCCATTTTGTGGGAGGACATGGTTGTCTTTGCCTGCCTAGAGGACTGTGGTGTGTTTCACTGTTGCTGTTAAAGACATAGCAGTGGATACAGACCTACAGATCACACTTTTCTTCTTCCCATCACTCAGTGGATTTTTCTTTTGTTCATCCCCTTCCTTGTAGATGGGAGCTGGAGGGGCCATCACAGGAATGAAGTTTAACCCTTTTAACCCTAGTCAGCTGTACACTTCGTCAGTTGCCGGCACTACCACCCTGCAGGATTTTAATGGCAATACTGTCCGGGTCTTCACCAGCACCGAGGACTGGGAGTAAGAATACAGTAATGCTTTGGGCCTCTGTGTCCTGCTGGCAGGAGTGCTACAGAGAGAGAGAGAGAGAGAGAGAGCGAGTGAGTGAGAGAGAGAGAGAAAGAGAGAGAGAGAGATGTTTGTCACTAATATGTGGGAGCTGGTCTTCCTCTTCCCCATATACACGTCCTTTATCCTCTGATCTCAGGGATTCTCTCTTTCAGGGAGGCTCGTTCTTTTTATTTTTCCCTGAAATGGGGTAGTGGGTAGGAGAGAGCCTTTCTTCCTTGAAAGGGAGGGACTCTTTGATGCTCCTTACCTCCTGTTGTACATGAGAGAGTGTGAGGGTGCCAGTGGATTTCCTCAGCTGTGCGTTCTTCAAACCCCCCAAGCTCTGTGCCCCAAGGACCTTCTAATCTCTTCACTTGTTAGCAGTGCTGCTTGTTGTTGATGGTTTTTACAGGACAGTTCAAAGTTCCATCAGTGCTTCTCCACAAATGCCACTGAATTCAAGCAGTGCATGCCATAATGATCATGCCAATTCATCCCACCTAGCTTTTGGTGCTTGCCTAAAATACCAAAATTAAGAGTCTGGGCTCCTTTAGTAATGAGTGAAAAGAGGAGATAAATTGCTAGAGGTAGGTCTAAGAATTACTTCTGAGACTGTTCCTTCTTCTGTGGACTCATGAGCTCATGTCTGAGCTCTTCAATTAGTTACTTCAGTTCAGTGGTTAAAGGTAAGTGAGGGAATTTTGATTAACTTCCACTTTACTTTTCTTCACTGATTCTTTCTGAGTGGCAGCTTTCATGGTTGTTTTCCACATTGGCTGTTCACCTGTAACCTTGTAATAGGGCAGAAGGTAAACGCAAGCAATGCTGGGATGACTGGCCAAATAAGCAAGGGTCCTGGGACACAAGGATCTTGTATCCCAGTAGGATGCCTGTCACAGCAATGATGCCTGGATCTGAATGATGCCATCCTCCTACTGCTTTGAGCTCAGGGAGGCTCTATGGGTGGACTTTTTTTAGTCTTCATTATCTTCCTGAAATCTAGTATTTACAGTGAGACTTTACTAAGTAGTTGTGTTCTGCGAGCAGCAGGTGGAGTGTACTTGAGTATCAAAGAATTTGGGGACTCCCAGGTAGTAGTATTCTTTTCTGTCTTTGTGTAGGATTTCCATGTTTCCTCATTAGACAGGTTGGGGGAAAACAACAAAATAGCCGAACACAGAAAATGAGATTTCTGTGCCATGGGGTTAGCAGTAAGATTTTTCTTTGCCCCAGTCTCATCCTGCCTGCTGGTACCTTGAGAAAGACCAGATACAGCACTAGAAGCAGCCTGTAGGGAACTAGTGGACAAAGTCTTTTTAAGAAAAGCTTGGTGCTGGGCTGTCATGAGTTTTTGTGTGGTTTATGCATGGGATCATGCTGGTTTTGCCTGTGAACTCCGAAGCCTGGTCTGAGCCACATGGTTCACTGCAGATTAATCCTACCCCCACAGCAGAAGCAGCAATGCTGCTACTGAGGTTTGCACACTGAAGTGGTGTGGTTGAACTTACAGACTCTGAATGTATGTGCTCAGATTGCAAACAGGTTAGAAAAAAAGAGTTCTTATGTATGCGCCCTGCCAGAAAGTAGTGCATGTACCTAGGGAAACTGACAGTGTGTTCCAGGAGATGACTGTTGTATTAAGATGTTGTCTTCCACTCTAGCCTTGATGCCTCTTGGCTTTGTATGTATTTCAGAAAGGGCCAGGAGATTCCCTTGGAGACATCAAGTTCAGTCCTTATGATGCAATGAAGCTTTATGTGGCATCAGGTGATGGCACCTAAGTCTGCAGGACCTTGAGGGCAGAGCTGTGCAGGTGTTCTCTCGTGCCCCGGACTGTGGCCATGAGTTCCATAATGTTTGGTGAGAAGATGCACTGCAAGGTTGATTCTCTGTTCCTTGGGGTGAATACTGCACTGCTTCTTGAGATCTCTAACATCTTCATCTTATCCAGTGTTAGGAAAATCTTAATATGAATTGGCCCCATGAGGAAGCTTGGAGACAGGGTCCTGGTCCTGACCCTAGCACAGCAGCATGGGTAACAGGCTTGGACAGACACAGGGCATTTATGCATTTACGCATTTACAGTAGCTGAGTGTGCTGCCTGCATCTTCTGGTGACGCTATCTCCTGTCTCAAAGATACTGACTGTTTTTCACTTTATGAAGTGAGGTGAGAAGAGCAGAGTAACTTCCTCCTCTGCGTTGTTGTCAGTGTTCTGTCATGTCTGTAGCACCTCAGGTAGCCACAAAACATTCCTGCACAATTTGAGTTTCAGGTTATTGAATTTACCCTGTGGCCCTTCTGGAGGCTTCAGGCTCACCATGCTCACTTCCATGGCCTTGCGTTCTTAGAATGTTTCATCTTTGCAAGTGAAGCTTTCACAAATTCCCAAAGGACTGCAGTTTTATTCTTGCTGCCCTTCTCCTCCCAGCAGAGCTGGGGTTAAGATATATGTTTATCGGCTAAGTTTCTATTCAGCTTTGTTTCCTCGAGCATGAAGTTGAGACAGTTTGATGTGCAACCTTTCAGTCCAAAGCTTTTGTCTTTACTGCTGCTTCAGTGTTTTTTAGAAAATGTAATTTTAAAGCTGTTTCTTGTACATTTATTGATGTCCCAAGGGTGTTCTGGGCACCAAGTGGCTCTTCAGCCTCTATTACGTTTCACTGTCCCAGTGTATCACACTCTGTCTAATGAGCAATTTCATATTCAGTCACCAACAGAAAGCATTGCTGATAAGCCATCCTTATTCCTGATACTCAGGCCCACACCATCAGACAAGGGATTGAAGTTGCAATCTGTTGTGGTCTCCCTTGTCAGGTTCAAGATGTGAACCAGAGCTTGTCTGCCTTCCCGTTCTGTGGGAGGAGCACTGATTTTGTGTTTTTCCCTCTAGTTGTTGGTACTGCAGTGTGGATGTTTCTGCAAGCTGCCGTGCAGTGGCAACAGGTGATAATGTGGGCAACGTGGTCCTGCTCAGCACTTCTGGTGAAGAGGTTTGTATGGCTCCATGCAGCATCAGCTCTGTGGGAATCTTCATGGCTTATGTGCTTTCCTACACTACAGGGACCCTGAAAAGCAAGTGCCTTGCAGCTAAGGAGATGAGTCCACCCATTGTCTGGGTGGTGAGAAGTCCTCCACTTCTGCCATCCATTAGACATTTTCACATTGTTGAGTGTAATGGTAATAATTCCCAAACAGGGACTGTGTCGTGTGCTACCCTTTCCTTAAGAGTATTTACTACTGGCCATAGTAATTATAGGGTGGCCTGAAGATGTGAGCACCCTCTGTCATCAATCTTAGCACTTAGTGCACTGATGAGAGTTGTTTAGGAGATACTGCTTTGACGTACAGCCTTCCATGACCTAGGGGTCGGCACACAGCAGTAATGCAGCAAACGCTCGGATGGAAATTGCAGTCCTGCCGTTAGACACGAGAGGGCAGGCAGAGGCCGACAGCGGAGTCTGAAGGGGTACAGAAACGTCGTGGAGAACAGTTGGAGTTGGCCCTGCTTTCACGAGCCTGCTGTACTGTAACACCAGCATAGCCATCTCTCCTGCCTGTAAGGGTAACAGCTCTGTTTGCCACCCAATGAGTTGTGTCCAGAGGCAGCTGTGTAAATTAACAGGCAGAGTCAAGATTGTTCCAAGTCCTTATTGAAGGTTAATGACTTGCTTTCCTTTTATTTTTTTTCTCATGAAAGAATGTCACAGTCTTTTCTGCACTTGGGACATACCTATTTTTCTAGGGAGGATGGGCCAGCTTCAGTCTTTCGATGAGAAATAATCTTCTGCCTTTGGATAAAAATTTATTCATGGCCACTTTGTGTTTATTTGTCGTTAATTGAAATATTTGTCCTACCCTCATGTTCCTTTGCAGGTATGTTTCTAGAAGCCAATTATATCTCCTCTCACCTTTTTTACTTAGATAAACAAAGCAAGGGTTTTTGGTCCTCCACACAAAGCAGGCCCTTCCTTCTCATTATCTTAGCAGCACATTTTCTGTACCTGTTCCAGTTGGTTTTAATCTTTCTGCAAGTGGAAGATCGGTACTGCTTGAAGTCTTCCAGATCTGATCTTGCTTTGTACAGTGGCACTTATACTTCCCTCTGTGAACCAGGGATTGCATTTTCCTTTCGCATAGCTGTATTAAATTGGTAGGTCAGAGTTATCCTAGAATTAAATAGTTATTTCCCAAGGTCATTCTTCGCCTTCCTTGTTTCCAGTGGATAAACTGTTGGTGTATTTTAGACGTTTTGTTACTCTCCAAATGTGAGACCTCTTTACTCTGTACTAGTAGATTATTATTCTATTTCTTTACTCCAGATCTTGATTTTTTTTTTTCTGTATGGTTTTCTGTCTGCTGCAGATTTGGAAGATGAAATTGCACAGGAAGAAAGTGACTCATGTGGAGTTTAACTCTCGATGTGAGTGGCTGTTGGCCACAGCATCTGTGGATCAGACAGTCAAAATCTGGGACCTCAGAAACATCAAAAACAAAATGAACTTTCTTTATTTCCTTCCTCATGAGAAACCTGTCAATGCAGGTGAGTTGAAATAAGGATTTCATTGCATTCATGTCTGCAGAGAATCCATTCAGCTCAGCTTTTACTGTGGTGGCAATGTTAGCTTTTGCTAATTACTGTGCAACTTTGCTCAGATTCAAAGTTGCACAGTAATTAAAGCAAGGAAGGCACTGGGAATATGTGGCCAGAGGCAGGGAGGTGAATAGGGCAGCTGCAGCACCCTTAGGCTTGCCATACAGGCTGTGGCACTGTACCTTGAGAGGTGACTGTGGAAGCAACAGCAGTGGCTGAGGTTAGAAAACTGGATTTAATGGGGCAATTCCTTTGACAAAAGCAGAGTGTGAGACTCAAACCTTTCTTGGGGGCAACTTTACCAGTTCATGGAAGTCCAAACTGCAGATGTCTTGTCTAATTATTCCACTGTCTTTCCATTTGAACAAGCAACTTCCTTTCTTTGCAATGTCTCCTCCTGTGATTCTGAAATGAGAATAATAATTCTTCTTAGGTAACCCAGCACTGTAGGTTTCAGCTTATGTTTGTAAGAGCTTTGAGTTTGCGTGAGACAGGTAGAGTCTTGTCTGTTGGAACATGCAGCCATATTCACAACCCTATTAAAGAAATAGCAATGGATTTGAAATCAGAGAAACATGACTTTTATGGTTCTTGTCAGCCACAGCATTGTGATCAGCATTTGCCTTATTGTCCCCCTCTCCTAGCTTACTTCAGCCCAACAGATGGTGCCAAGCTCCTGACCACGGACCAGCGCAGTGAAATCAGAGTTTACTCATCTTCAGACTGGACCAAGCCCCAGCATCTGATTCCACATCCACACAGGCAGTTTCAGCACCTCACACCTATTAAGGTGAGTTAAGCCTGAGGAGGATCACATTTGGTGCTAGCAGCTGGCTGTAAAGCAGAAGTAGTCTGATTTCTGGTCACAGATACTACATTGATGGGGGGAAATTCACGCTGCAATTCCCAGTGGAGCACTCTTCCTCAGGCTGTGGATGACTCACAGTGTCAGTTGTCTAGTACGTGTCAGTGATGAGCTCTGTTCCTTCCTCTAAGCTCTCCATCACTCTGCTCTATGACTAGGCATCATGGCATCCTCGCTACGACCTCATTGTCGTGGGTCGCTACCCAGACCCTAAGTTCCCAGGGTACACCGTGAATGAGCTACGAACTGTTGATGTGTTTGATGGGAACACTGGGGAGATGGTTTGTCAGCTCCATGATCCAAATGCTTCTGGTATCATCTCGGTGAGTTGAGCACTGCAGCTAAAGGACAGCTGCGTATTGAACACTGCTGTGTCTCTGTGAAAGAGATCTGGGTTTGGGACTAGAACAATATCCTCTTGTGACAGACTCATGCTCTCGTGGGATATGGCTGCCAGCTAAAGCTGCTGACTCAAGCAGGGCAAGTCCATGGTCATCTGTGGGGGTTTTGTGATACTCTTAGGGAACATTGGGTTTTCCAGATGGTTTGTGGCTGTTACGTAAGCTGTGGTGCTCTTATGACTGTTACATAAGTAAGCAGTGATGCTCTTGCAGACTTTGATTGTGTTTTAATTTTCAGCTCAATAAATTTAACCCTATGGGAGACACACTGGCTTCTGGCATGGGTAAGTAAAGAAAACCTGGGGCACTAATCCTGGGTGGGTTTCGGTCCTAGGAAAGGACTGGCTTGTTACTCCACATTAAAGCAAGTTGTGAGAGGGATTTTTCCACATCACACTTGCTAGTAGTCCTCTAGAATTTCCAACATCTGTAAAAGAGATCAGGACTTTATTTTCAGTCTTAGACCTTTGCAGTTGGAAAACAGGCTGGTAGTCGTCTCCTGTCAAACATTCCTGAGAGCATGAAG